GTAAGACCACCTAGTGAAAACCTGTAATTCCTTTGATCAGAGTGGATCCGATTTTGCAGCTCCACAGGAGTTTACGGGTTCAACCAAAGTAAGATAGGATCTGTCAGTCAACATGAACCAAAAAAGGCACTATTAAAAGAGCAAAATGCCCCCTCCACGCTCAACAGTGCCTTAAAATGTATTGGGAGCAGCAAAAACTCACTAAGATTCTGATACAGACGAGATTATTATGTTACTTACATAAGTGTCCAGGTTCGACTCTCAATGAATCTTGGCATACTTTGAATTCCTATAGGGTATTGCTTTAGCCGTAACCAAGAGATGGTATAAAAGTTTTATTGGCTAACGTTTCGGCGCCTTATCGCCTTCGTCAGAGCCTGGAAAAAGTCAAAAATCAAAGTGAAACTACCCTCGGAAATCATTTCAAACCTCAGATAAGCTAGTCCCAGACCAGTAGGATCCAGAAAGTCATAGAACACAACCACAAACGACTCACCTTTAATGCACGACCGGTTCTTGTTTGAGACCACCGCTAAATAGACTCCCCGTCGGTGGCTTCAGCTGACCTGACCGCTCTACTTGATGCCGATGGCAACTGAAGCCCACACAGGTCAGCAAACGGGGCGAGCTCGTTTGTGATGGTCAGGCATTCGTCCTTTCTATTCATTCTGGGATTTTTAGCGCTAATCCAAAACGCTTCCAAAGTTTTGCGCGCCGAAGTCTGTGGTTCTCGCATCAAAATCCTAACCGTCACCTCAAACTCCGCGCCTCCATGGCGCTGAACCCGATGACTACCCAGGGGGACTCTTGTCTTGATCGCCTCAGGCTATCTAGGTGTTCCTTCACCCTGGAGCACAGGGGTCGTCCAGTCTCCCCGATGTACTCATCCCCACAACTCTTGCATGATATCAGGTAGATCACACCTGATTCCATGCAGTCCCCCTCCCGCTCAGAAGAAGAAATTGAGGTGACGATTTGGATTTTGATGCGAGAACCACAGACTTCGGCGCGCCGCAAAACTTTGGAAGCGTTTTGA